AAAGTATGCTCCATCTTAACACAAGAACACTTGTCCAACAATGTTCACTGTGGCTTTATTCGTAATAGACAGAAACTAAAAACAATGTATATGTCCCTCAGTTGAAGAATAGATAAAGAAAATGGGGTACATTTACACAATGGAGTATTACTCAACTGCTTTTTAAAAAATGACATTATGAAATTTGCAGACAAATGGGTGCAAATTGAAAAGAAAGTCATCCCGAGTGAGGTAACCAAGACCCAGAAAGACAAATATGATATGAATTCCTTTATAAGTGGGTATTAGCTATAATGAAAATAATAGTCAAGCTATAATTCACAGACTCAGAGAGGTGAGGTTAAAAAGAGGTCTCAAACTGGGACAAAGGGATCTCCTTGGGAAGGGGAATAGAATAGGTTTTGCAGGTAGACTGAGGGTAGGTAAGGACAAGAGTAGGAGAGATCAAGTGGAGGAGGGTGGGATGGAGGGAGAGAGTGTGGGAAGAGACAGCTGGAATTGGCAGGGTACTTGGGGGATGGAGTGGAAACCTAGTGAAGTGGAAATTTCCTTGAATCTATGAGGTTGACCCTAGTGAGGACTCCTAGCAATGGAGGATAGGGAATCTGAACTGGCAATCTTTTGTAGTCAGGAAAGGTTTCCAGCAGTGGAACTAGGTGATATTCAGTTGGGTTATTGGCTCAGGAGCTCCTGTATAGATTCCTAAACAACCCAGGTTAATGCTAGGATACTGAAAACTGACAATGGGGCCCTATTGGCAAGGGCGACATCAACACCGCTCAGTGAACTTGGAGAGGTAGAGCTAGTGCCTGCCTGGAACTTTCACCTCTACACTCTAGTCTCTTTGACATGAGAAGGTATGAAATAGGCTATGGAAAGAGAATCCTAGACACCATCCCAGCCACAAAACCCTCACCCTACAATCTGTCCTGTCTGCAAGATATACTGGATAATTGAGGCTCAGAGTTTGTGGAAGTGGATAACCAAACTTTGGTTAACTTGTGGTCCACACCATGAAAGCAAGCACATGTCTTACACTGCCTATATGGCCTGAATTGGAGACCGGATAACCCAGAGACCTAGGGTAGAACCAAACATGACTTACAAAAATAAGCAAATTAATTAATTAATAAGGAAATGATTCCTAATGATATTTTGCTATACGTATAGGTTGGTGTTTTGACTGATCATCATCAGTTAGGCTTCCTCCAGGGAATGAAGTTGGTGAGACCCACAGCCAGACATTATTTGGAGAGACTAAATTAGAGGTATCCATCATGTCCCCCTCCACTGGAGCTTGGGAACCCCAAGGAGGTGGGGAGGATATATTGTAGGAGTCAGAGGGGATGGAGTTCACCAGGAGAACATGGGCTATAAAAGCAACTAAGCAGGGCACATACAGGCTCACAGAGACTGAAGCAACAAACATGGGGCCTGCGTGGGTCTGCACCAGATATTATGGCTGTTAGCTTGGTGTTATTTTGGGACTCTTTGTGGGACCAAGTGTATCTCTGACTTCTTTGCCTGCTCTTTTTGCCTCCTACTGTGTTGCCTTGTCCAGCCTCCATATGAGGGCTTTTACCTTGTCTTATGTTTTGTTTTGTCCTGATTGGCTGTCTTCTCTTAGAGGCCTGCTTTTTTTTTTTGAAGAGGAAACTGCAAGGGGGAGTGGATAGGCAGTGGGGAGTTAGGAAGAGTTGGGAGAGGAGAAACTGTGATTGGAACATACTGTATGAGAGAAGAGTATTTTCCAAAAGGAATTCTGAGTTCTTACACTATTTTTTTATATCTACATTGACTTATGTTTTATAAGTTTTCTTTTCACTAAGTGATTTTCTTACCTTGCACTCAAAATCATCAAGCTATTTTCCTTTGAAAGTTTTAACTTATAATTAATTTTTTCATAATGCTGTAAGGGAGAACTTACCTAGTCTACGGATTTTATATTAATGAAATATTTCAAGTATAGAATTAATTTATATAAGCATAGTTCCAGATACTGCATGGGAAATAAAGTATCACGAATTCAGGTGAAGGTACTAGAGATTCTGGTGCCAAATTCATTAACCCAATCCTTCCAAGGGATAACCTTGGCCCATAATTTTGCTTATTATCATTTTCATATAGTAAACTAGGGGTACACATGCATATTCCCTAAATCAATAGATCCTATTTTTACATGCTTTGAAGATTCACTTATTTTTATTTCTTATGTGTATAAGTGTTTGTCTGCACATATATATGTTTGTATGCATGTGCACCACATGTGTGGCTGGTGTCCATGGGGGCCAGAAAAAGGCATTAGATCCCATGAAACTGGAGTTACAAATGGTTGTGAGCTGCCATGTGACTTTTGAGATTTGAATCCAGTTTCTCTCCAGTGTGTCAGCTCTCCAGTTCCATTACATTTACAATTTTATGTATATTTAATAATTAATATCCATTGGACATCTTAGGCAGTGGCCAATATTTTTGTCTATGTGATATTTTTGAGATTTATCCATGATAACTCATCTAAAGGATTTTCATTTTTCTCTGGGATACTTCTACAATTACAGCATGTTAATATTCTACTGCCCTAGGTAATTTGACTTCATATTTTTTAGCCCTTTTCAGCAATTCTGCAACGACTATTTCTAAGAATGAAAACATGAGTTTGTAGATTGTGAGAATTTTTAACGATTTCTTAGCTGCTTTCTGGACCCTCTGAACTTTCACTGTTGTATTCTCTATGGTTTCTTCACCTCTTCATCATTATGCAGTGCTCCTAGATTTGTGATTCTAGCTGATTTCACAGCTGTGAAGTGTCATCCTATCATCTTGCTGTGAATTTCTCTAATGACCAGGGATCCTTGAGTGCCCCTTTCAGGTGCTTATTGGATGGTGAGACATCTCTCCAGTCAAGTGACTCTTCATCTTCATACTGTATTGTGACTTTTCATATTGTTTAAAATACATTTATGAGAAATATAAAAGTACTTTCTGTTTTTTTGTCCTTTATCCTACCTAAAATATAAAGTTAAGTATGATGAGAAGTTTAAAATCTATTTTTACATGTGCATGATGCAGAGTCTGAATAGTTCATATGTCATCATTTCTTTCTAGTGTCACCTGGAATTCATCTAGTTCCCATAAATGCATGCAAAAATTTCTGGGATTTTTTCTCTATTCCTCTGAACAAAATTCTGGAACTGAATCGTAACCACAGCCATTCTGGATTAAGACTTAATAGTTCCCATTGAAGCTCCATGAACATTGTTCCTGGGGTTTATATTTTTACTTATTTTTGACAGTAATTTTAATCTTTACTTTTGTATATATATTTCAGAATTAACTTTTTGGGGTCCATGAACAACGGTAGTTATAATGTGATAATAATCATATTTGTATTATAAATTAATATACAATATTGAATCTTCCATTTAGGAGCATTTGCGTTTCTTGATTTGTTTTAAATTTTAATAGATAAATTACCCATAGGCAAAAAGTTACTGCTCAAAGTCACATAGCCAATTAACAGCAAAGCCAGTGGTAGAAGGAATGTCTCTTGACTCTTTAGCAGTTCATACACTTAAAGGCTTAATTATTTAGTCGGTTAAGAAAAATTTTCCAGTTTTTGCAGCTACAGAACCATCAGCATGAAAGAGAATCCAACTTCTGTATTTTCCCAGGCTCTTGATAATCAAAGTGCTCTCAGAGGGCTTGTTAAGATTGGAGAGTCTCAGCCCTAAAGACCTAGCATCTTCATTTGAACGATTGCTGGCTTATTGGCAGACACTGTTTGTGAGACTGTGTGGAATCCTGTTTAGCAAAAGGGGCCTGCATTTCACTGCATTGATCCTGTGCTTTGAAACCTGCCAGAGCTCCCAGTGCTGATGCTCAGGCCACTGAACTCAAAGCTTTCAAGTAAGCAACATGGAGACCTCAGTCGTGATGGCTAGGCCTTTCCCTTTCACTGAAGACTCAGGGGGTAGAACCTGTTTCCCTTAACAAACATCAAAAATCCAAAGTGAGGGACTGGAGAAATGATTCCACAACTAAGAGTGCTTATTGCTTTCTTGAAGAACCCAAATTCGTGTTTCAGCATCCATGCTTCATGGCTTACAATAGCTCACTCTAAGATCCAACAACTCCTGCCTTCTATGGGCACTTGCACACAGATGTTACATACACATAAGCATATGTATATATGGCTAGAGTAATAAAAACATGACTAAAAATATTTCAAAACGGGGGCTGGTGAAATAGCTTAGTGGGTAAAGGTGATTGACACAAAACCTGAAGACCTGATTTCGATCCCCAGGATCCACAAGATAGAGAGAACTCACTCCTAAAATTTTGTACTGTGATTTCCACGCACATGCTCAGGCATGTGTGCTTTCACGGGCAGGTTTGCACATACATACGTAGAGGTAAATAAATAAAGTTGACTGATTTTTTAAAAATCCAAAATAATAAAATACTGCCTAATAATTCATATCCTTTATCATATGTATTCAATGGAAACAAAATGTTGAACAGTTCTGAAAACAATGTATTTCAGGAAGGCTAGGATCTGTGTGTGTGTGTGTGTGTGTGTGTGTGTGTGTGTGTGTGTGTGTGTCTGTGTGTGTATACACACTAACTAGTAATTACCGGTATTTAGAAAACACATAAATTTCTTTGAAAGTAATCCCCCAAATTTGTATTTTAGCAACTGAAGGCTATGGGGGAGGAATATAAATACCAGGGAGTCAGAAACATGGATCTTCAGTCTTCCAGTGTAAGGCAAAGTCCACTCATGCATTTAGGCATCTTTATTCTTCTAGTATTAATCCGGGTTCAAGCCCCCAGCTACTATAACTACAAATTATTCCCCAGAAGCCAGGGGAGCAAGTGGGGCAGGCAGGGAGGTGGAAAAGGTGAAGAGGGGATGGAGAAAAAAAAAAAAAAAAAGGTGAACCCCCCCAAATCCTGCCTGCTGCCACTAGGGGTACCTTTGTACCATTTTTCATTCTGCACTGATTTGGAGTAGAAACCTGTATTAGGGGAAAACCAGGGTCCTCGGCATTTTTTTTTTGCGAGCAGTGCACCCAGAATCCAAAAAGATTTTTATAAAAAAAAAGAAAGAAAGAAAATGAAAGAAAGAAGCCGCAGCTCCTGGTAACCCGGATAAGGCCACGGAATCGTTCTACTGGACACCAGCATTGGGAATTCATTTTTTGAGGTCAATTTCCAATCGAGATAAATCTATTGGATTAGTAGGATTATCTGATCGCAGCTCAAAGAAGTAACGTTGTTTGATCGTTTGTATTTTCTTGCCTGATGGTCGGAATTACAGGGATGCGGCTTTGGTTCTCCAGGATTCTAGATCGTGGCAGCGTCTGGAGAGAAAAAAAGCATCAATCCACACGTTTAGGAAGTGTCCGTGGGTGAATAAAGAGGGAGGGGGAGGTGGAACCGGGGTTGCGGCTGCTTAAAGAAAAAAATAAATAAATAAGGGAAGCGTCTTGAATTCTGAAACAAGAATTACCCAGTTCCTGAGGCTGAAAAGAAGGCATCTACAAACTGGTAAATACTTTGGCCATTTCGGCTTGAATTTGAAGGCGAAGTGTTGTTAAAACTGTCTCCTTGAATAATTGAAAGGACTGGGGGAAGATGAGGGGGCTCCCGCCACGGACGTATCTTGCTGTGGGTAAGTTTGTGGCTCTTTCCTTGGGAGAGGGCTGCGGGTCTGGGTACCACTGTGCGGAAAGGGTTGCGGACTCGGGCCGCCAGAGAAATGGGGCGAGCAGGCTGGCAGCCCACCCCGCGCACCTCGCAGGCATCGAGACCGCTCCGCCCGCACCAAGCTTCAAAACCTGGATTTTGTTGCCTCAGTAGGGAAGCCAAGCAGCCTCCTGCCCCCCAACTTTGCCCTGGGGGTGGGAAGAGAATCTCTGAGCTGTGAGATTCCCTCTTAGACCGGTGATTTTTCTCCTAGGGATACTTTATGGAAAGGAGGCAGCCAGGGCTTAGAAAATCCTGCTCCAGGGTGGGGAGAGCTCAGGTCCACATCGCGCTGCCTCGGCCCATTTTCCCAGGCTGGCTAAGCTTCCTGGGGAATTTCACTGGGGATGCTGTCAGCAGGAGAGTGGTCTTATTCATAAACTCCATCCAATGTTCCCTTCTTCTGTTTCTTCCTGTCCTTCCTCATCTCCCCCTTCTCTCAGACACTAAAGGGTTACAGTCACTGCATCTGATCCAGGAGAAGGAAGTGGGATTCTGCCACACAGGTTATCTCGTGACTTCCTTGTAGGACTTTGCATAACACACCGAGACTTAACTTTCTTTAGTTAGATGGGCCTCTTTGCAGCGTTTCAGCCCAGGGCCCAGGCTGGCGAGTGCACCAGGCAGCTAGCTGCATTTGTGATTCCAGCCTGCCTTGCCCTGCTCCTGACTCCTGGCTTTTCTTTTCCAGTGAGCTCTGAGCGCTTGTGTTTCTAGAGATTTTCTTGCAGCTGAATTTAGGTTAAAACATTTTTTTTCAGTCTAAGAAATTTTGTAGCTCTGTAGACAAAAAAAAAAAAAAAAACAAAACAAAACAAACAAACAAACAAAACACTCCTCTGTGCTCTCAGAAGGAAATCGATTTCACCAGAGGTAATTAAAATTAATCTTTCAAATGTGTGAATATTAATTGACTTACGAAAGTAAAAGTTACTTTGGAATCCGGAAAAGGGCATTATTCTCACCCAAGTTTGTGGTCCACATAGCTCCAGCACAATTATTTACATAGTAATATATAATATGTAAGTATTTATGAATGTATAGAAGTGTCTGTAGGTGGCTTAGAGAGATGAAACCCCCTCACATCTCTTCACACTTCAGTGTCTTTCAGTTGGCCTTTTTACTATTTAAAGCCAATGCATTTGCTTTTAAACTATGAAGCACTCAAATGCACTGAAATAAAATGAAGATAGGTAATTGTCATGACATAAAATAATGCATCTGGTGTATGTTAGTATCCCAAAGAAAGCATTATTTTCCTAGCATTTGTGTGATGGATTGTGAAATGTGTGCAGATACTGTTACAGTTTTAATGTTAAAGTCTCTCCTTTAAGCCTGGGCTTAGCTGTGACCACCATTCAGCCTCATCTGAGTTCATCTCCTCTAGGACTTGTTTGACAAACTTCAAGCACTTCATGCATTCTGGCTATGAAAAGAGGGGTCTTACCAACTTCCTACCTGGATTTTTCTCTGTGCTTTTACACTGAGTTCTGAAGCTAGCATTTGAAATTTGTATTTAAGATGCAATTGCCAAGTGAAAACTTTTACATCCCAGGAATTTTAAAGTGGAAACTTGCCTGTTTCTTTTTTTCTGGGGGCTTTGATTAAACCTTTCTACAATCATAGATTCACAAGGAATAGTTTCTACAAGCACATTCGTTTTCTGTAGATATCTCAGAGGCTGGCTCTGCCTCTTTTTCTTGCTTCTCTGTCACGTGGTTTGTGCTCCTTGGAGGGAGAAGAATGGGTGTTCTGTGTGTTGGTACATTCTAGTCACTGCTCCTAGCCACACAGTCCAGGAATATTTAACATCTGATTAAATCAATACAATTAATATCAATTGATAACACAAATAAATAAAGCATGTTGAGTGATAAGATTGGTTAATACTTCTCTTGTTAGGCTAACTGGGAGACATATTGATATAAAAGGGATAAAAAATTTCAAATTTAAAATGGGGTCCTTTAAAAGATTAATTTGCATGTTCTGAAACCAATGAACTAGTGGTGATTGAGTGTCTCAGACTGCCAATGAGGGTAAGTGAGCTAACACACCTCTAAGTATCTAGGAAGTTATTTTTCTGTCAAGAGTAGCTGATGTTTTCTAAGCTCTGTTTGGGTGGTGGAAAAGAAAAGGCAGCAACTTTGTTCTTCTCTTTGTATCAACTGCTTGGAGGGTTGGTAGTGTTTCTACCGTAAGTTCCTACACAAAAATCCTTACAAACCTTGTAGGTAGTACATGCCTGTTGGACAACCAATAGCAAAGGAAGTAGCCTATAGAGAGCCACATACCACACTTCCAAATTCACAGCTACAACCAGCTAATGAACACAAGCTCAACATAGTTTGACAAGTAGAGTGGACTACTTACAGAGCTGGTGAGTCATGCTGGATTCAGTCTGTCAATTAACTGCACATTGCCCTGTCTTCCCCAGCACATGTGTATGTGATGATCACTCAAAGGAATAGAGTGTCCTTGGCTGGTTCCTTTTACTTTATATCGGGACACAAGATTTGTAATTTGGACCAAAAGGTTAGCAGTTCACAATTAGTACTAAAAATTGCAAATATGGTTCTTAAATTAAATGGCCAGACATAGAATTGGATTCCCCAAAGCTGCTGGTGTGGGTATGGAAATTGTATTCCCTTGGGAATTGTTATCTTCTTCCATATTGTCTAACTGGTCTAAAATCCAGGAATTACTGATGTATTGGCTGCAGCTTCCATGATTTTGAGATGATTAACCACATTTAGTTCAGTGTCATTGCCCACCCCCTTCTTAAATGAAAGTCTATCAGCTCTTAAGTGGAAGTGAAATGAAACAGGAAAATCTCAACTTCACTGCAGTAATGAAATTTAGTATGTATTATCTGCAGTGCACAACTTCTATATTGTTTGATTTATTGGGACCTGCCATGAAAAGTCTACCTTTACATGAACTTGAAATTTCAATGTTTAGTCCTTAAAAATTGCAAAGCCCAGAAAAATAAAGATGGAATTAATGAACACCTCAACAAACCTAGAATATACTTGTATACTTTTCATTACTTCCTAAAAAGTAATTTGGAGCATCTTGGCATAGCCAGTACTTGATAGCCCTGAAATAGCAACATTCCCAGCTCTGTCTAAGAAGGGTTCTTTAATAGCAACACATTGCTTTGGGTGTTCTTCATCTGATGGGGACAAAACTATGTTGACTAATATCAGTTATTTCTATATTGCTATAAAAGAATGTGGGATATCTTTGCTACTCTCTATAAAAGGAAGGAAGACAGACAGAAAGAAAGGAAAGAAAGAAAGAAAAAGAAAGAAAGAAAGGTAAATAAAGGAAAGGAAAGAGAAAGAAAGAAAGAAAGGAAGGAAGAAAGAAAGAAAAGCCCATGTTCCCTTTTGGTAGCATATCTATTGAAGAAAAAAAAAAAAGAGGACTGCCAAGTCAAAGCTTAACTGAAGTCAGAGAAAACTAGTAAATCACTCCAGGAATTTGATATTATTAGACATTAAGCTTTGGGGGTTTTAATATGAATTCTTTTTATAGCAGTCAATATAATCTCTTCTATTCCTATTTCTATTGCATATAAGAGAGAAATTCTACTCAATGGAAGGGCACTTTACTGCTGCCATTACTGCAGAGTTTATAGATCAGGGATGTGTCAGCATGTGAGATTCAGCAGTAATGCCTCTTTTGTGTGAAACCTTATGGGCCTTGCAGGCACTCTCTCATCCTGACACTTAGGAAACATTCAAGTCTCTGTATTTATTATTTAATCTTCTTCCTATATATATAGCACTTCAATATATGAATGTGTATCCAAATATGACAGGCAAATGTGAATGGGTCTAATGAGTTTTAATAATACACATATTAGGAACTGCTAAAGGAAGTTTAATTAAGAAAAGCAAGTTAAGCATGAAATTCATTGTGGAGCAAAAGCAAGTTAAGTTAGTGCTAGTGATGTGCTAGTGCACAGTGATACATCACAGCAAATAAAGTTTCAGGCTGAGAATAGACCACCCCAATAAAGTTGGCATGGTAGGACTTAGCTTTGAGTCCTGAAGGTTTTATGGAATTTTCGAAATATATACTGTTTTTTTTTAATGTTTTCACTTTTCCTTGGTTTGTATGGCATCAATAGTATTTTAGCTATGTATCAGCCAAACTTTTTGTACATAATGCTAATACTAATTCACTTTAATATGCATTGACCACACACACACATATAATATATATTATTTGTTCCCCTTCCCAAACTCCACCTCAGTCAAGTAACCCCAGGCCGGCCCCATGCTGAGGAGGAGTTGGCCTATCTAAACAAACTCTGGACTCTGCTTTTCCCTTATGTTTCTTTTGTTTGTTTTGTTTTAATTTGAAGTTAATTACTTTCTGAAAGGCCACACAATGACTTTTTCTAGACTACACATCTCTAATGATGAAAATGCCAACAACTAGATTCTTATTCATGCCTTCCTTTGGGGGGTGCTTTAGGTGGTACTCACAACAAACTGGAAGTCTATCAGTTTATCTGTTTCCATAACTCATTTAATTTTTTGTGGTCTAGAAAACTAATAGGTCCATTATTTGTTTGTTTACATGTTATCTGTCTAGATTTCTTTACTGGCTATAGTAGATGTGTGGGGAGGGGACAAAAGTTGTCAAGTATATACAATATTGGGCAAATATTTCTTTAAATAAAGTTTTCTTACATTTGTTTTTATCTAAAGAACAGATACACTCTAGAAATAAAGAGGTCAGTCAGTGTATCTCATTATCTACTTGGGAAAAACACTCAACTACTACACTGACTTCTTTCACTTATAGATTCCCACCATCTATTATATCTAACACTAGAAATCCCATTTTGGTTTTTCTATTCACTTAATGTACTTTTAGGTTTTCAGGAAAAACATTAAATATACAACTTAAAGG